TCGCCCGGTTCATAATTCGCTGCTGCTGCTGGTGCTGCTGTTGCTGCTTGAGTTGCTTCTCCTGCCTCCGTTTTACCTCGAAGCGCTGCTGCTGGCTGCGCCCCGTCCCCAGCAACAGCAACAGCAGCAGCAGCAGCAGCAGCAGCAGCAGCAGCAGCAGCAGCACTGGAGGGCTGCAGCCTCGAAGAGTGTATATTCAATGCTTCAAAGACAGCAGCAGTCGTAGCCTTCAATCGACTGGGCGGACACCGCCGATGAAACTGCAGCAGCAAATCATCTGCTGCTACCTGCATGCAGCAACAGCAGCAGCAGCAGCAACAGAGACAGCAACAGCATAAGCAGCAGCAAGTGCAGCCCATGTAACACGAGAAAGCACAGGAACTGCAGCAGCAGCACCTGCAGCAGCAGCACCTGCAGCAGCAGCACCTGCAGCAGCTGCAACTGCAGCAGCAGCAGCAGCAACTGCAGCAGCAGCAGTAGCAACTGCAGCAGCAGCAACTGCAGCAGCAGCAAATGCACTTACCGAAGCAGGATATACCTTCATTGCTGCCTGGTGCTGCTGCTGCAATTCAGCATACACCGCAGCAGCAGCAGCACGCTGCTGCTGCCGCTGAAGGCGTCTCTTCTTTTGCTTCCTTTGTTTGCTGCAGCAGCAGACGGGATAACAAAGAGACACTTGCAACAGCATCAGCAGCAAAAGCAGCAGCAACAGCAACAGCAGCAGCAGCAACAGCAGCAATAACAGAACAGCAGCAACAGCAGCAGCAACAGCAGCAGCAGCAGCAACGGTTCTCACTTCATATCGAGCTTCCACTTCTTCCTGCCGCAGCGGGCCTCCTGTTTTGCTGCTGCTGCATCTGCAGCAGCAGCCTCACCAGCAGCATCTGTTGCTGCCACTTCGTTGTTGCTGCTGCTGCGGTTTGCTGCAGCAGCAGCAGCTTCTTCTTCACTTTCTTCTTCTTCGTCGCTGTCTGAAGCAGCAGCTGCATTGTCTTCAAACTCCTCGTCATCAGACTCCGTATCGGAAGCGAACGAGGCCTGCAGCAGCGACATCTTGCTGCTGTTGCTGCTGCTGTTGCTGCTGCTGTTGCTGCTGCTTCTGGTGCTGGGTGCTGCTGCTGTTGCTGCTGGTGATGCTACTGGTGCTGGTACTCGTGCTGCTGATGTTGTTGTTGCTGCTGCTGCTCCTGCTGCTGATGCAGTTGCTGCTGCAGCTGGTACTGCATAGCAGCACTTTGCTGCCGGGAGCGTTGCTGCGAATTGCCTGCGTTTATTTGCTGCTGCGTTGTCTAATTCTGCTGCTGCTGCTGCTGCTGCACGTGCCTCGCCAAGGACCGATAGGAACAGCAGTAGTAATGTCCAGCAGCAACTGCTGCTGCCGCTGCTGCTGCTGCTGCTGCTGCGGCTTTTTGCTGTTCTTGTTGAGGTTTGTTGTTGCTGCTGCTGCTGCTGCTTGTTGCTGTTGCTGCTGCTGCTGCTGCTGCTGCTGTGGCGATACTTCTGTTGGTGGTGTTTATTCTATGAACGCGGGGGTTCTCTGTGCATGCTGCAAAGGCCTTGCCTTTGCTGCTGTTGCTGTTTGCTGCTGCTGCTGCTGCTGCTGCTGCTGCTGCTGCTGCTGTTCTTTGCTGCAGCTGTAAGCTCCCTATAGGGAAGTTGCTGCGCCTCTACACAAAACCTGCTGCAGCAACAACTATTAAAAAATATAATTAAAACAAACTAATACAATTTTCTCTAAAACAAGTGAGTAGACTGCTAACAACAACAGCAGCAGCAGCAGCAGCAGCTGCTGCTGCTGCTGCTGCTGCTGCATGCAGGCATGTATGAAGCCCTTGCGTGTATAATATTGAAGAGGGTTGCTAAAATTAATTAATAAGTTCTGTTTATTAATAAATGTTTTAAAGAGCTGCAGCGTAAGTCTTATCAGACATACTACAGCAGCAGCAGCAGCAACTGCTGCAGCAGCTGCTGCTGCACGGCGAGGGCCTGCAGCCGACAGCGCAGCAGAGAGGGGGAGACCAACTTTTAATGAGGTTAGAGACACAAATGTTGCAGCAGCAGCAACAGCAGCAGCAGCAGCAGCAGCAACAGTCATAACAACGGGCACCTGAGCAGCAACAAAACAGCAGCAACGGAAGCAGCTCTGCTGCTGCTGCAGCTTTGCTGTAGCACAGCAGCAGCAGCAGAAACGCCCCAGAGGGACTGGAGGCAATAACACCGCCTACAGCAGCAGCAAAAGGATTCACAGCAGCAGCAGCAGCAGCAGCCGACTCAGCAGCAGCAGCAGCAGCCGACTCAGCAGCAGCAGCAGCAGCAACAACAATGAAGTAGCTGCAACAGCATAAGCACCTTCTTTTGTGCGTCTCCATGAGGGCACACGATCGGCTGTGCAGGCAACTGCTGCTGCTGCTGTTGTTGTTGTTGCTGCTGCTGCAGTATGCTGCAGATAGCTGCTGCTGCTGCAGCTTCGCTGCAGCTGCTTCCAGCAGCAGCAGCACAAACCCTTTCCCCCCTCCTAGAATCGCGTTCATGCAATCCCGCCGTCTCCTCAGCAGCAACTGCAGCATCAGCAGCATCAACAGCAGCAGCAGCAACAGCAGCAACAGCAGCAGCAGGGTTTATTCTGTGATGCGGCTGCCTGTACACCCCGTGCCGCAAGCTGCTGAGCCCCCGCGTGCTGCATTTGGCTTTGAATTTTTGCTGCAGCAGCTGCCAGCATCGATAGTGGGTTTCTTCACTTCGCTGCGACAGCAGCAGCAGCAGCAGCTGCTGCAACCGCAGCAGCAGCTGCTGCTCCTCAAAGCAGCAAAAGATTTTCTCATTCACAACTCTGAAGCCCTTAAGGCGTACGGCTCCGTGCAGCAGCAGCTGCAGCAGCAGATGCAACAGAGATATAAACATCTGCTTGATCGTATATCAGAAGAACAGCAGCAAATACTGCAGCAGCAGCAGCAGCAGCAAGAGCACCAGGAGGAACCGCACCCCCCACAGCAGGCGTATCAGCAGCAGCAGGAGCTAGAGCAGCAGCAGCAGCAGCAGCAGCAGCAGCAGCAGCAGCAGCAAGAGGAAGATGCTCCTCTAGGGGATATTGGTGTTGCTGCTCGTGTGTCTCTGCAGCAGCTTCGTGATGCGTTAAATGCAGGGGACTCTTTAGATGCAGCAACAGCAAAGCTGCTGCTGCAGCAGCAGCAGCAGCAGCACCAGCAGCAGCAGCGGCAACCAACCCCGCTGCGGGTTAAGCCCCCTGCAGTGCTGCTGGCTCTTGACGAAGTCTACGGCAGCATTGCTAACCCTCATGTCTTAAAAAAACAAGTAATAACAGCAAACACACTTCTGCTGCTGCTGCTGCTGCTGCTGGTGCGGCTGTTGCTGCTGATGACGCTGATGCTGTTGCTGCTGGTGGTGCTGATACTGTTGCTGCTGTTGCTGGTGCTGCTGTTGCTGGTGCTGCTGTTGCTGGTGCTGCTGTTGTTTTTGCTGCTGCTGGTGCTGCTGTTGCTGCTGGTGCTGCTTCGGCTGTTGCTGCTGTTGCGGCTTCTGCTGCTGTTGCGGCTTCTGCTGCTGTGTTGTGCAGATGATATTGCTGCTGCTGCTGCTGCTGCTGCTCCCCTTGTAACAATTCTTTTTACTACTGCAGTCTGTAATTAAGCTGTGCGTCTCCGGTGTGCCGCTGCTGCTGCTGCTGCCGCCGCTGCTGCTGCTGTTGTTGCTGCTGCTGCAGCTGCTGCACTACCTTGAGACAGAAGGGGCGAGCACTTGTCGGCGTTTGCTGCGGCTGAACAAAGGAGTCTTTGGGAAGCAAGAAGCTCTGCTGCTGCTGCGGGAGCTGCAGCAGAAAGTAGAGCAGCAGCAACGTGCGTTGCTGCTGCTGCAGCTGCAGCAGCAGCAGCGAGAGACAGACGCACAGCTAGAGACAATACAGACGCAAAGACAACAAATCCAGCAGCAGCTCCAGCAGCAACAACAGCAGCAGCAGCAGCAACAACAACAACAGCAGCAGCAGAGTAGCAGCAGCAAACATAAAAGGCGAAAGGGGCATGTAGAGGCCCTGGAGTTCGCGCTGCAGCAGCTGAAGAAGCAGCAGCAACTAGCAGAAGAGCGGCATCAGCTGCAGCAGCAGCAGCTGCAGCAGCAAGCGGTTGCTGCTGCTGCTGAAGCAGCGCGAGTTCTTTATCGAGGTTTCTATGAACACGGCGCCTTCAGACCCAAACCCCTAAACCACTGGAAACACAGAAGAAAGGTGCTGCTGCTGCTGCTGCTGCTGCTGCTGTTGCTGCTGCTGTTGCTGCTGCTGTTGCTGCGGCTGATGTTGCTGATGATGCTGCTGCGGAGGTTGTTGCTGCTGCTGCTGCTGTTGTTGTTGTTGTTTATGCTGCTGTTGCTGCTCGATCGATGCTGTTGCGGCGCTCAGTGTGCTACATTTGCCTTGCTGCAGCAGCAACACCAGCAGCAGCAGCAGCAGCAGCAGCAGCGATGGCTTGTGCTACTTTGCTGCAGGTTACTGCCGATTCTTTAGCCCCTTACATTTTAGGACGCGCAGGTAAAACCCAGAGCAGCAGATTTCTCAAGGGTTTAGGGTTTAGGGTTTAGGGTTCAGGGTTGATGATTTAGGGTTTAGGGTTTAGGGTTCAGGATTTAGGGTTTAGGGTTTAGGGTTTAGGGTTTAGAGCTTAGGATTTAGGGTTTAGGGTCTAGGGTCTAGGGTCTAGGGTCTAGGGTTTAGGGTTTCGGGTATAGGGCTTAGGGTTTAGGGATTAGGGTTTAGGGTTTAGGGTTTAGGGTTTAGGGTTTAGGGTTTGTGGTTTAGGCTCAACTCCGTGGGAGCGGCAGCAGGTGACTGCGGCATTTGCAAAATGCGTTGAAGAGGGTCGCCTCTTCGCTGCATGCAAAATACTCAGGCTGCAAACAGAGTGCGCTTGGGTTTAGGGTTTAGGGTTTAGGGTTTAGGGTTTAGGGTTTAGGGTCTAGGGTTTAGGGTATAGGGTTTAGGGTTAAGGGATTAGGGTTTAGGGTTGAGGGATTAGGGTTAAGGGTTAAGGGACTAGGGTGTAGGATTTAGGATTTAGGATTTAGGGTTTAGGGTTTAGGGTTTAGGGTTTAGGGTTTAGGGTTTAGGGTTTGTTGTGTGGCTGCAGCATGCTGGAGTTGCGGGGCCGGCCTGAATTGGTGTTGGGGTTTCTTCAGCTGTATAGGGATCTGAACGCTCGCAGCAAGGAGTTGTTTTTGCTGCAGCAGCAGCAGAAGCAGCAGCGAGAGCAGCAGCAGCCGCAGCAACAGCAGCAGCACAAGCAACAGCAGCAGCAGCAGCAGCAGGATAATCAAAGCGAGTCAGAAGAAACCTCTGGTGAGGACTCAGCCCAATCAACAGAAGCAGGCGAGGGCAGCAGCAGCAGCAGCAGCAACAGCAGCAGCAGCAGCAGCATGCTGACTAGGAACGCTCGATTTCGTTTGCGTAAAGCAGCAGCAAAAGCGCAGCAACGCCGCTATGCTCTTCCTGCTGCACTAAAAGCAACCGCTGACGTCAGCAGCAGCAGCAGCAGCAGCAGCAGCAGCAGCAGCAGCAGCAGCCCTAGCAACAGCAACAGCAGCAGCAGCAGCAAGTATTTCTCAGAATGCAGCAACAAAGATATATCTTTTCTGAGAAAAGTTTATCTATCAACTGCTCGAAGACCTCGCGTGCATGCAAAACTCGCTGAAGTTGCTGCGCACTGGGGAGAGCAGCAGCAAACCCTAGCCAAGCAGCAGCAGCTAGATGAACTACGGTACACAAGCTGCTGCTGTTGCTGCTGGTGCTGCTGCTGCTGGTACTGCTGCTGTTGCTGTTGCTGTTGCTGCTGCAGGTGCTGTTGCTCGTGCTGCTCTCGCTGTTGCTGCTGCTGTTGCTGCTGCTGTTGCTGCTGCTGTTGCTGCTGCTGTTGCTGCTGTTGTTTCTGCTGCTGCTGTTGCTGCTGTTGCTGCTGCTGTTGCTGCACCTGCTGTGGCTGTCGCTGCGGCAGCAGCTGCTGCTGCTGCACTTTGCTTCATTTTATCCCGGTAGCGGAGGCGCTGCGTGCGGGGAGGCTCACTGCCTGCCTTTGCTACTGCTGTTGCTGCTGCTGCTGTTGCTGCTGCTGCTGCTGCTGCAGGGAGCGTCGCGAAGCTGAGAGAGTGAAGTGGTTTGCTGCTAAGGGCATTGACTTACCTTTCCTTCAGGCTGCAGCGCAGCAGCTGCAGCAGCAGCCAGAGAAGCAGCAAACCCTCAGCAGCTTTTTCTCAAGCCCTTCATTTAACTTGCAGCAGTGGCTGGACGAAACACCACCGGGATTGCTGCTGAAGCCGAAGCAGCAGCAGCAGCAGCAGCAGCAGCAGCAGCAGGAAGAGGAGCTGCAGCAGGAGCAGCAGGAAGACGAGCTGCAGCAGCAGCAGGAATAAGCGGTACCCAAACAAGCTGCTGTAGCTGCAGCAATAAGCACTCCCGGCATCAGCAACAGCAGCAGCAGCTGCTGCTGCTGCAGCAGCACGGATCGTGAGCTTCTTCTGGCGAAGTTGCTGCTAATTTGTTTAATACATTAATACTTCATTTGTCTTATTCCCTTGTATCTCTGCTTCTACTGCTGCTGCTGCTGCTGCTACTGCTGCTACTGTTGCTGCTGTTTTTGTTTTTGCTGCTGGTGTTAGAGAGTATAAGGCAGGCTTGCGTACGCATTAGGGTTTAGGGTTTAGGGTTTAGGGTTTAGGGTTTAGGGTTTAGGGTTTAGTTTGGTTGGCATTGAAGGAGCGCAATTTGATTTGCTGCTGCTGTGGTTTTCTTTACCCAGCAGCTGAGGCAGCAGCTAGTAGAATCAGCTAGCAGCAGCAGAGTCTTGTTGCTAAAACATCGGGAGCTGCAGTGCTGCAGCAGCACCTGTGCTGCAGCAGCAGCAAGCTGCTGGTGCTGCTGCTGCTGTACCAGCACCAGCAACACCAGCAACACCAGCAACACCAGCAACACCAGCAACACCAGCAACACCAGCAGCAGCAGCCGCAGCAGCCGCAGCACCAGCAGCAGCAGCAGCAGCAGCACGGTTTGGCTTTAAGCTAGAGAGAATAGGCGCTTCATTTGGGGTGAGATATTTTCTGGTAGTCCTCTGTCTTTGTTAATTGCCTTCCTGAGACAAACACAAACAAACAAACAAAATTCAATGCTAGCTTCATCAACGCCTAGCTAGCTACGCTGACTAGCTAGCTAGCTAGCTAGCTAGCTAGTTGGGTAGCTAGCTAGATAAGCAGACAAAGCTGCTAGCTAGCTAGCTAGCCAGCATGCAAGGCGATCGAGCATCTAGCTAGGCGATTAGTTAGGTAGCTAACTATCTGATTATCGAGCTAGATAGATAGCTAGCTAGCTAGCTAGGTATTTGTTTGGGAGTTGCTGGCTAGATAGCCAGCTCGCTCGCTCGCTAGCTAGCTAGCTAGCTAGCTATCGAGCTAGCTAGTTAGCCAGGTAGGTAGGTAGCTAGCTCGCTAGCCAGCTATCTAGCTAGCTAGCTAGCCAGGTAGCTAGCCAGGTAGCTAGCTAGCTAGCTAGCTAGCTACCTGTTGCTTACTGGGCCATGATTCGAACTGCGGGGTCTATCGGGAGTTTTCTTAACTCCTCGCACTCTGCCTTTAACCAGGGATGTTGTAAGGCTGTAAATATAAAATAAATATAAATATAAATATAAATATAAAATATAAATATAAATATAAATATAAATATAAATATAAATATATAAGCAACGTCAGTATTTACTTGTATTTGCAGCAATAGCGGCAGCAGCGCAAGCAGCAGCAGCAGCAGCAGCGACAGAGCAGCATTAACAGCAGCAGCGGCAACAGAGCAGCAGTAACAGTAGCAGCGGCGGAAGCAGCAGCAGCAGCAGCAGCAGCAGCAGCAGCAATGACAAACCGTCTGCTGCAGACATGCGCTTTTCGATATCCCTCGTCAGAAGTCCTTTAACAAACGAGATAGCCTGCAGCACAAACCCTAAACCCTAAACCCCAAACCCTAAACCCTAATCCCTAAACCCTAAACCCTAAGACTCCCCCAGCGTACCCCAAAGAGCGTCTACTGTTTAGGGCTTAGGTTCTATTGTTTAGGGTTTAGGGTTTAGGGTTTAGACTTCAGGATTCACGATTAGTACTATGGGTTTAGCTAGGGTTTAAGGGATTAGGGTTTAGGGTTTCGGGCTACGGGTTTAGGGTTTAGGGTTTAGGGTTTAGGGTTTACGGGACTTTATCTGAAGGGGAGACTCCGCCGTTGCGTGGAGTGAAAGTAATATCTGCATTAATTACATCAGACTGTACAGACAAACAAAACACAAAAAATAAAAGTAAAATAAAAATAAAGAGAGAGAAAGAAGCAAAAAGAATCATAACTGCTGCAGCAGGCAAATGAAGTTGTGGCAGGAGGGTTTAGGGTTTAGGGTTTAGAGTTTAGGGTTTAGAGTCATAGCGTAGGGTCTAGGGTTTCCTGCAGAAGGTATAATAGGGTTTAGGGTTTAGGGCTTAGGATTTAGGGTTTAGAATATAGGGCTTCGGTTTTAAGGTATAGGGTATAGGGCTTCAGGTTTAGGGTTTAGGGCTTCATGTTTAGGGTTTAGGGTTTAGGGTTTAGGGTTTAGGGTTTAGGGTTTAGGGTTTAGGGTTTACAGCGATTTGTTCGAAGGTGGCTCCTTTCCACCCTCCAAATGGATGTACACCAAAGAGCATTAAATAAACAACAACTCCTAAGGACCAAATGTCGCACTTTTCGGTGTATGCACGCCTGAAATAAAATAAAAAATAATTAAAATAATCATAAAAAGATGCTTCATACTCAAGCATCAACCCTAAACCCTAAACCCTAAACCCTCATGTTTCAATGCGGCATTTTACGCTCGAAACCCTCAAACATAAACATGATAACTTTAGGCTAGTAACAGGGGGTGGGGTTTGAGGTCTAGGGTATATGGTTTAGGGTTTATTAGGGTTTAGGGTTTAGGGTTTAGGGTTTAGGGTCTACGGTTTATAGTTTATTGTTCATTGCTAATTGTAAATTCTTCAGTGCATATTATTCACTGTGTATTATTTATTGCTTATTGTTTAGGGTTGATTGTTTAGGGTTTAGGGTGGATTGTTTAGGGTTTAGGGTTTAGGGTTTAGGGTTTAGGGTTTAGTCACCTGAGTACTTCAGGGGCTATATATCTGGGGCTGCCGCAGACTGCTGTGAGAATATCTCCCTTAGAAAAGTTTGTAGCAAGACCGAAGTCTATCATTAGAAGAGGAAAGTGTTGAGATTGTCTTTTAAACATGAAGTTCTCTGCCTGCAGCACAAACCCTAAACCCTAAACCCTAAACCCTAAACCCTTAAAACTAAGCGTTAGGCTCTCTTAGGCCGCGGACACAATACGGTTTCGCTCAGCTGCATGTACACCTGAATTATTTCTTTCTTTCTCTTTTTTGAGCATCGAACAACTCAATTACGGTGTTTCTTGCTATTGCTTCAGGTAAACCCTAAACCCAAGACCCTAAACCCTAAACCGATAAGCTCACCTTTATGTCTCTATGAACAAATCCATTCGCATGCAAATACTTCACCGCCGCCAGCATTTGTCTGCAGAACAATCACAAATAAAAACAGCTGCCTATACACCTGAGAGCTGCCTATACACCTCAAAGCTGAATATACACCTCAATGCAAACAGAGAACAAGCCAAACCTAAACAAATAAAAATATAAATAAATAAATAAATAAATAAATAAATAAATAAATAAAGAGACAGGCAAAACCCAAACGAAGAGACAAATAAACGATGAGGCGTGCGTTATATCTTTTAAAGAAAAAAGATATAAAATATACCTCTAATAATAAAGAATTGTATGCTATATAAACATAAGCAGCACGCACTTCTATATTAAACATCTAACAAATAAATATATATATATATATAAATGTATATTTATATTTAAATATTTATATAAATAGATAAATAGAAAGTAAACAGAGACAAAAGTGAAAGGAGACAGAAAATAAAGACGAACATAAAAATGAATTTAAAAAAATAAAAAGGAGACAGATGAAACAAGTCCAAAAAAAAATAAATAATATAATTTAAGAAGACGAACAGCTGCGTTTAAAAGAGACAGACATTAACAGAAGCCTAATAACAACAAACGGAGACAGAAGAGAAGAAGGAGACAGATGATAGAAAGAAATTAAAAAGAAATAAGTTAAAATTATATTTAATATTTCACCTTATTATATCTACTGCGTCATATTCGCTGAAAGAAACAAATCGGCTTATCTCATAAAACAAATCTCCTCCGCTGCATAAATCCAGCACCTGAGCAATAAATAAATAAATAAATAAATAAATAAATAAATAAGTAAATAAATGCATTAATTAATTCAGCAATTGAAGGAAATTAAATCGGATTACATTATATAGAGAAACAAATACTTTTAATTGCATTTAAATGCATGCAAATGAGTCTGTTTTAATTGCATGCATTAAATAAATAAATAAATAAATATATATATATTTAATTGCATGCAAGCAAATAAATGGGCTTGAATGCATGCAAATAAATGCATGCATTTAATATATTTAAATGCATGCATTAAATAGATGGGTTTAAGTGCATGCATGCATTTAAATGCATAGATTAAGTTTTCATTAATATGCATGCACTCGTTTAACAGAGACTAACAAAGAGTAGTTTAGGCTTTGAGGTCTAGAGCTTAGTGCTTAAGGTTTAGGGTTTAGGGTTTAGGGTTTAGGGTTTAGGGTTTAGGGTTTAGGGTTTAGGGA